CCAGGCTCATGTGGCACAGAACTTAAGTGCTCGAAATCCTCGCATCTGCCCGATAAAGCCGAAGTGCGGTTCAACAGCCTCGAACGCAGCTGGAAATCGTGGTGTCCCTCACTAAATTCTGCTAGGGCGACCGGATGATGAACCGTTACTTACCAGAATGCGGGTGAACTGATGAGAAGTTGCCTGAATGTATGTCATCCTGTGGTTCTTAAGCATCAGGGCATCTGGAGTAGCGTGCACCAAGCCGTACCAAGCCCTTGCATGCCCTTGCATGTTGGGAAGCTCATGGCCATGCCAGTGGCTAAGGGTCCTTTGCGCTCGGTGAGCTTCTTTGTGTCTACCGCGGTGACCTGGTTCCACTGGGCCGAGTACTCCGCGGACGCTCGGCGTGCAGCACCTTTCCAGACTCTTGTCATGTTGTTTGAAGCTTGTTGTGTGCGTTCGGGTATTTTGTTCTTTTGGTTTTTGAGATGTTTGATGTTAATTCGTTTGGTTCTTAAGGTGTTTGTTAGATTTCTGGCTGGACCAGGGTGTTCGTGGATGGAGACTTGCGTCTGTCTAGTTTCAGGGTCTGCTTTTGGGGCTTGCAGCTGTGGAGTAGTGCATCAGCGACGCCATTTCCATACAATGCATTCAACTCTGTGGTACGGTTGTTGAGAATGCAGGCGCTCGCTTTTAAGGACCAGTTGTGCCTTGCTTCATGCTCGCTTCCGAAGCCGCCACTGCTCAGTCTCAGGCGACGTTGACAACAAAGACTACCTTATGGGAGGCTTCGGAGTGTACAGCAGCTTGCTTTGCATAAGATGACAGTTCAACGAACGCGCTTATGACCTCTGGCAAGCCCTCACACGCAAGTGTCCTAATCATTTTGTCTAGGCATGTCTCGGGCTTGGGGCTGAGAGTTGTGCATTTCCTTTGGCCTCATCCTTTGAGGGATGTATATAGGCCCCAAAACGATGCATGTGTCGTATATCTGCTGCTGCTGATAATGCCTGGCTGCCGCCCACATGATCGTCTTCCTTTTCTTAGTCATTCTGTGACATATGGTGGTGTCATGTCACTCTTGAGAGCGGAGCACAGAGCATGAGAAACATTCACTGTCAGAAACTGAGGCGTGGATGCCTCTCATCATCCTGAAGTGCTGGCCCGATACATCAATGACCATGCGGCGCCCTCAGTAGAGTCGCAGACAGAGAGGGAGAGAGAGGGACCTCCGGGCAAAAGGTTTCACGCAAAACAATGCACTCGGGCCGCTCGTGCGCAGAGGGTCCGTCAGGGCTCCTTCAAGCCTAGCAGAAGAAGAAGAAGCAGGGGAAGGAGAAGGAGAAGGAGAAGGAGAGGGAGAGGGAGAGGGAGAGGGAGAAGGAGACGGAGAGGGAGAGGGAGAGGGAGAGGGAGAGGGAGAAGGAGAAGGAGAAGGAGAAGGAGAAGGAGAGAAGAGAATATACTTGGGACGGAGCCAGAATTCAGGGCGGAACCTCCAATCACTTCAACTCGCTATGCATGTTTTGCTCATTTTTGCTCCACCCATAGCCCAATGCTGGCAACTCCAGTGCTTGAGTCTCACTCGGACACTGGACGACACAGGCGCACCAAGCGGGACCCAGCGCATGGGGGGGTTCATCCCCTCAAGCCCAGAAGAGGAAGAAGCGATGGAAGGAAGGAGGAACCCTCGGGCGGCCTCCCACTCCAGAAAGGGTTACGTGCGCAGAAAGGGAGAAAGAGGGGAGCTCAAGGGATAAGGATCTGAAAGGCTTAGGGTTCGTCGGGGGAATTGGGAGGTCTTCGGGGACTTCGAGTTCAGGTAGGGGGTACCGAAGGGGGGAGATGAGAGGGAGGGAAGGGGTGTTGACTGTGTGTGAATCGTTGGGGTTGGGGAGTTTTCAAGTGGTTAAGGTGGTCCGTGCCCTGATTCAGTGGTTCCTGCGAAGTAGAGAGCAGAGGGGCGGGTCATTGGTCCTGTCACGTACGCGGTGTTTACTGGGGGGGGGGTTATACTTTACATGAGGACAACGAAGCACCGACAGAGTACCAGCCGAGTTGGCCCTACCCTGAAGGGGGGGCATATACCCAACGCTGAAAACAGTGCAGTGGAAAAATTCGAGGGCCACTCCAAAACTCCTCAAGCCGACTCGAGCGGCAAGTTTACCCCCAAAATGTCTCTCTCCTACTCTCTCTTTTCCCCTCTTGCCGCTGGGCTTGAGGGACCAGGAAGATAGCCATGACCCCCGCGCGCGGCGCGCACCTGTGTTGTTCGGCCTATGGTCGGTGTGAGACCATAGAAGAAAAACTGGGAGGTACGAACAGGTTCCCCTTGGTACTCGGGCGGGGTATCCTGACCTGCCCATGTGTTTCAAATGCACACACATTATGGGCTTGGGATGAACTCACCTGGACCAGGCAGACGCGGAGCATCACAACGCCAGGTTCGTGAAGCTCAAGAGGCCGGCGAGACTCCGGAAGAAAGAAATGCTGGTGTTTGCTGGAGCTCCTTGACGATTTTGCCCCACATCGACAACACACGAACATCGACCATACCTAAACGTTGAAAGCCTATCCACATCTTTTGCCAAGTCTTCTGCAGTCTTCTTGTCGTTCCTTTGCCTTTGCAGCAGGGAGCGGAAGGCACTCGTCCTCGCCACGCGCGAAATTGTCAAGGATGAGGAGGCCAGAGAAGTCAGCCTTTGCCTGGCCAGTAGCTGGCTGAGGTGGGCCGCCTCCGTCACCAACAGTGGCCTTTGCAATACAGTATACCACGCGCGCGCGTGGGTGTGTGTGTGTGTGTATGCAACCACTCATTCTCCCTGAATGGTCCATCTCGGGCTGGTTGGTTAGGGTTAGACTTAGACTTTGCAGGTAGAGGTTTATCCAGGCGATCTCTGTGCATCTGCAGCATTTAAAGCTCAGCAAGTCTTGCACTCACGCACTTGCCTTTGACGCTTCTGAAGAACGCCATGGACGCTGTTGAGCTGACCGCGTGGCTGGCTTGCACAGAATAGGATCCAAGACAGTCTTTAGAGTTTCGGGCTGGCTTTTGTGGAATATTTCAGGGCTTCACTGAATGGTTCCTCGGCTGTCAGAAGCGAGGGAGCCAGAGGACTCTGCAGGCATGAGGCTTCAGGCAGAGTTTAGGGTGTCATGTCTTCGTTCAGCATTGCCCAGATGCGTGACCATGGTACTAGGTCCAATGCAGCTGGGAATGGCGCAGGTGTTTTAGGCAGAGCCCTGCGGCGTGTTGGAACCCTGCATGTCAAGAATACGTTTGAAATCCATTGAAATCCCAATCGCCCCAAAACTCCCAAATCCGAGTTCGATTCCATGCCCGCCTTTTCGTACCTTCTCAGCCAAAACAGGCAGGATCGTCTCTACGATGCGGTCACTGCCATCAATGATGCCAGGGCCATAGTTTTCAAGAGGTTCCGGAGGCAAATAACAAGGCAAGACTTTGTAAGGGATGGTTTGCAGGGATCCTGGATTTGAATCTGACGCTCGCCCGTGCACTGCTACTCGTACATACTTCTCTACTGGTGCTGTGGGATGCTGTGGGCATGGAGTGTCCCTAAATCGCAAACCCACGTGTTGAGCCCGGCCTTTGCAAGGTTGCAAATGATCTCCAGCGTCGGCTTCAGACTGTGAAGCTTAGCTGAACCGTTTGGGGCTGTTGGACTTAGAGTTTTGAGGATCGGGCCTTAGGGGTTGTGGGGTTTTCGGTTGATTCTTTTTTGGAGGGGGGGGGGAGATGTCTCTCAGATGGATGTACGGTTTAGGGATTAGGGATTTGGGGGGGGGGGTCGTTGTGTTGAGTGCATTCATGCTACACCCTGAAAATCGTGAGGGCAGCGTTGCGTGAGGTTTTACCCCAATGGACCTGTTGCCACTCGCCACTTCGGGGCCGTCACTTGGCCATGCATGCTGGAAGGAAGGAAGGAAGGAAGGAAGGCAGGAAGAAAAGGAAACGAAAGGAAACGAAAGGAAAGGGGAAGGATCGGGACGACCCTTGCGGGCGTCATCTGGCTGGAAGGGAGGAAGGGGGAAGGGAGGACGGAAAAGTCTTTGGTTAAAACTGCCTCGGGGGTGCGTTCTCCAAACTTCAAAAACAGAGTTCCTTGTTCTTGAGGCGGCCCGCCATGTAGCAGACAAGGTGCTGTAACGCAGGTCGTCGACGGCCTCCTTCGTCTCTCGCGTGTGTGGAACTTGTCCGAATACATTGTTCCACCCGGCGGTTACACCGGACGCAGTTGTCTTTGCACACAGAGTCACCAATATTGAACATTGCAATTGTTGCACGTGCGCCATCGTTCGCCGGGCATGTCTGTTGAAGGAGCGTTTCTTTCGGGTAAGCGGCAATGCTTTCGAAGTGGTGAGGCCATTGGTTCGGCCCTCGGGGCTTCTGTCCCTTCGCATTCCTTCGTTGTCACACCCTTGTCTTCCAGCAATGTCCCCCAAAACAAGGAGTGCCTGCAAACCTCTTCTGTCTCTAAAGGTGTCGATGTGCCGGGCCCATCAGACATTCAATGTCGTCCCTGCTGGAGCTTCACAGATTCAGCCGTCGGCGCTAGGGCGTCCCTTCAAAGGGTGGCTCTTCGCGAGGCATGACAAGAAAACCAAGGCCCAGTACAGAAACCCAGAGCATCAACAGCGTGCAGCAAAAGAAACTGTGGAATCACTACCAAGTAGCCGTTCACTGTGCTTGTGCACCGTCCCCAGGCAGATTGACTTCCAAGCTTCCCAAGCTCCTCAAACGCTGTCGGCATGCCAAGCCTTAGCCTTGGATCAGGGAATGCACGGACAATGTGGATCTCTCGGACCCGCACAACATCGCACAGATCGTGCAAGGACCGCACTGCGTTGTGGCAGTGCTGAGGCTCTCCAGATTTTGGGTGTCAGGCTTGGGCATGACAGGGGGTGCACTCTTCGCATTCAGGAGATGATAGAGAGAGATTCAAGAGAGCCTCCTGTTGGGGTTTGACAGCCCTTAGCGCACAATAGGAGTTGGCTTCATGACTCTCGCGATGTGGCTGATCTTCGCCAACAACTCAAAGGTAGCATGGGCATCTTTGAAGAGAAGTTATCGGCATGTTGCAAACTGCGTCAGCTACAACGTAACTAACTGGATGCCTCGGTTGCGCCGGCAGCAGGGAGCAACAATCCCCCAAAATCCCTTGGGCCAGGTGGCCGTAGCTCAGAAAGCCCCTTTGGAGCAGCGGCACCAGGCCAGATTTCCTGGCACTTGTTTGTTGGTTTGTTGGGGTGGACGGGAGTGAGGAGGCTTGTTTTTGGGAACATGCATGAAAGAGTTGGGAGGCCTTGAGATTTCTGATGGCTTTGCGTTGTACTGCAGCGTGGCTCAGCGCGTGTCTCAACAAGACTAGGCGGCTGCGACATCGCAGTGTCCCCTCCCATCCGGTTTTGGGGGGTATTTTCAAGAAGCGGTTGCCACGGCAGATTTGCGCGACCATCAGTACTGCGGTCGCCCTTTTCTCCGGCTTCTTCAACATCCTGCAGCCCCTTGGGCCGGTTTAAGGGGTCGGAGGTCACACTTCAAGAGTCCTGGATGCGAAAAGCATGTACAAGGCTTAGCTTCTGCCCTTGGGTAGGTGAAAGGTCCTACTCCTTGTCGTCCCCCGAAAAACCTGAGAGCCCGAAGCCCCAGCTTCGACCCGATCCAATGCCTAAAGGCTGACAGCGATTGATGACTTCGACCTTCCGGGCCGCGCAAACAACTTCAATCTGAACTTGTCCCGTTCCTTTGGCCTTTTAAGTCTTTTCTTGCTCTTTGGTTTCGTTCGGCAGGTTTCGCGGTGTGCTCGTATGAGTTGACGAACAAGCTTTTTCGGATCAGTCAGTCCTGGCAAGGCCCCGCAGCCCCAGATGTGTTCGCAATCGCTTGCCGTGGGAGGGCGCGCTGCTTTGAGTGCTGAGATGGGCGAGGGATGGCGAGGCTTAGGCTACTTAGGCTGAAGACTCCGACATTCCAGGTCCCGTGGAGTGGATTCTGACCTGTCCCATCATGCAGTTGAAGTTGGTCGTATTGGCAGGCCAGGCTTTTGTGTCTTTTGTTGGGTCTACGTTTTTTGGGTCAGGGTCTTGAGATTTGGCTTCCTTGTCGGTGTTGACGGTTTGGCCCTGTACTCTTGCGGGCACCTCATGTTTCGGCACGATGGGTGGAGGTACTGTGCGCTGAGTCTGGGGTGAGTTTCATCGGTGCGAGGTTCTTAGACCTGACAGACTTTACGTAGGGTTGTTGCAACGTCTCGCTGCGCCCCTGTCTGGATCTGCGACGCTTCTTGCAGGAAGGATGCGGGTACCCTGCGTTGCAATTTCTAGCAGGGCTCAAGGCAGAGAAGTGAAAGGAGGGAGAAGGAATGAAGCAGAGAGACGGGGAGGAGGAGAGTGCAAAAAGACAATCTGCAAACTGTCCTTGCTGGCTCGGCCGCCAGGCGCCCGTGTGCCCAGCTACCGCCGCTTCATGATGCTCCTGATCTGATTCACAACGTTTGTTCTGTTCTATCGCATTCGCTACTTGTATTGCTGGCCGGTGATAACCATTGCTCCTGCAGACTGTCGAGCGAGTGAACTTCATTCAAGTCCAGGGAACTTAGATGGGCCTGGAGATCCTGAATCGGAGTTTCTGTTTTCGCCCCATGCCTTTCGTGGTCTCAGGGCTCGCTATCACAACCCTAAGCAAACCCAAGCTAAAAACGGTCACATCCGAGTAAATCAAACATGAAGCATCTGCTACTTGCAGCGTAGCTCGCGGAACTGGCAAGATGCCGAGCAGTTGGGCCAAAACGGTCTCGTCATTTTAGACGAAAGACGGCGTTAAGACGTAAGATTGGACGCGTGTGGAGCCGCCGACAGTCCTAATAAACCGCAGAGCTGCGGGGAATTATTGTGGTGACAACGATCTGGGAAAATGGCCTGGTGAGGACAGCCACGTCGTCTTCTCATACGATGCTCCGCATGGAGCTGCTAAGTGGGCTGTGCCAGAATTTGGTTAATGCAAAACATAGGACAGTCCTGCCTTTCCGTCCGAGCTGATGAAACAAGAAATTACTGTCGTGGGTTCGAGGGGGAAGGTGTTGACAGCTTTCAGAAGCTGCATGAGGGAAAGGTAGGGAGGGAGGGAGGGAGGGAGAGCGAACCTAACTTTACAAGAGTCGAAGCCCAGAAAGGGAGGGATGTAGAGGGCTTTGTGGGGTCATAGGAGCGAGGGGGTTTGGGTGCTTGGCGATTCGTTGTGGGCCTTAAGTTTCAGCCTGGGTGCGGAGCTTCTTGCTTCGGAGACGAGGTTGAGGTTTCAGAGGTTGGGCATGTGGAAGCAAATTTTGAAGAGGAAAAACATCGAGGCGAGGCAACAAATCTGTTACAACCCCACGGTTCCAGCACCTAGTGGCATAGCGTACAAGACTGCACGGCGCCCGCTTCGCCACCAAGGCCTTTGGTCTGCGTGTCTGTCCTCTTGTGCGGAACGGCCTCGATGTTCACAGGAATTGCCGGTTCAGGGTGCTGATGGGGATTAGCCTGTAGCCTAGCACTGTAGCCTTGCAGGTCTATTGAGCCGCTCGGCAGAGCCGTAAGGTTGGACATGCGTTGGTTGGTTTTGAACACTTTTTGAACATGATTATGCTGCGGGTCTGCAGCGACGGGGGTCATCCTGCAAGCACTGGGTGTTTTTACGATGCTGTCCTTGCTCTAGGCTCATATGCCCGCTTAAATTTGGACCTGTCCTCATGCTCCCGCCGCACCCTTCCGCACCCCCACACACACAGCATCACCCACAACACTCACGCCACTCACACCGTCTGCACCCACGGCACCCACGCCCGCACTCAAGGCATCACATGCACCCAGACCCACACCCGCCATCCATAGCATCCACATCGCGCTGTTAGGGGAAGGTCTTTGGTGCTGGGCCGGGGAAGGGAGGGGGGGCAGGTCTCAGGCGTTTTTTTTTTTTTTTTTTTTTTTTTCAGAAATACATGCGACTCGAACAACGCTCGACATTATCAGCAAAACAACACCCAGTATATTTGCAAAGATTTAGGATGACAGATAAAGTCTCGGCACAAGCAATAAAAGAGCCGCCTCAGGGGGCATCCCGCGTAAGAGCAAGCATTGCAAGCGCTGTCCCTGCCAGGCTTCCTGAGTTGCGAGAAGTTGCGATGTAGGCATGGAAAGGTGAGGATAGGTGAGGATTCTTGGGACGGGCTCGCAGACTCATAGTCAGGTACAGGCAAAAGCGCATGAGCAGCAACAACAGTCCGAGACTTGTGATCTCCAGACGTAGCTTTATTTATTCTGTATGTTTGCAAACATTACTTGAGTGTTTTATTGGTTTTTGTAATAGCAATACTTATATATATATATATATATATATATATATCTGGTATTCAATAAAAGCATGAGCAAAATGAGTCTTCGACGAGCGCTTGCGAAGGAATGTTAGTACTAAGAATGACAAAACATGCAACGCCGCAGTTCCCATTTTCGCTTTATCGCAAATTTGTAGGCAAGATGCTTCCTTTCAATAAGTGTTACGTGTTGAGGTCGGCGTGGGTACATACACAAAAGCGGGTTGACCACACGGGACACCTCCATTCACAGAGGAGATGCGCTGCGCTATGCTTGGTATGCCTTCGGCCTGATGCTGGCATTGATCATGTTCTACCACAATGCCTTGCAGATCAAAGAGAACCTTGGCAGCCGTGGTTCAACTCGAAACCTCCTAATCTGAGAGCTCGTTCCGTGGCATTCTGTTTGTCGGGTCATCTTACGGATCCTGACGAAGGAACGAGGGACAGCTCAACAGGGCTAAGTAGGGCGTTGCCACAGTTGCCACATGTTGCCACACCCAGAAGCCTGCACCAGCGGGTCTTGAGGAACAGCGAGGGCGAAGAGTCCCTTTTCAGCGGCGACTTTGGCTTGGACAAGGACGGTCTATGATTCTATGAGTGTTGCGGAAGCACGGCCTTCTCATTATCCTTCCGTGCAAGCCTTGTGATATTCTAAGCGTGCAATGATCGCTGAGGTGTTTGCTTTTGGGGTCTGAGCTTGGGCGTGGCATCGTGCTCGCATCACAATGCCATCGTGTTTGTTTGGAAGATTTTGGAAGACATGCGTTTTTTTTTTCTTTTGTAGGGCATGAAGTATGAGGCTGTCGAGGCCGACTGCTTGCACCCAAATCCGGCTTGTAAAGTGCTGCATTCTCTTTTCATCAATAACAGCTTCTTGAAAACGGTGGATGCTGTCGTCAAGTTGTGCCCCGATCGTTTATGCTGTTCCACGTTTGGTGCCGAGCTCCACGCAGTTCAGGGCTTGGGGTTGCAAAGGTTAGAGGGTTTCGGGCCAACCGTCGATTTCAGGTTGCGAGGGCCTTTTTGTCTCTGTGACGGAGCTGAAGGCATGCGTAGGATTACGTAGCCATCGGCCGCTTGCTGAGGCGACTCAGACTTCCGCAAGCTCTCCATCTTGCTCATCGTAACCTGGTTCCCTTTCCCCATCTGGTGCCTGGGCCCTCCTGGTTGGACTGACTTTGAGCGCACGTAGCCTCAATCAAGAGGGCTGTACATTAACATGTGTGTATGGAATGAAAGGTGGAGCGAAGCTGTTTCGACTAGTTCTTCGACAGGAGTGTTCTCGCCTGTAAACATGCTCCATGCAGGCTTAGCATCCATGTCGTGCTGGATTGCACAACCACACATCTCAAGCTGCCACTTCATGAGCAACAAAGACATGAACAACAGCAGCTGCAAGCATGTGATGCGTGAGCTCAACTACCGAGTCCAGCCCCAAAAACCGAATCGCTGGATGTCTTACATTGTGCCTGGACAGCTAGCACCAAAGACCAAGTCCTGCGCTCAGGTTCAGTTTGAGTGTGGAGGGTTTCGGGCTCATCACCGACGGCTTCATCATCGAGATGGGCTGGGTTGTCCTGATCCTTGGTCGAGTTCAGCTCAATTGTGCCGCATGGGCCATCTTGCAGGTCATAAATGAAAAAGGTTAGGAACAGCTGCAAGTAGCTGGGCCATGTTCTGCTACGCAGATTCATTCAAATTCGCGAAGGACTTCTAGGTCCTGCTTTCCCTTGTAATGTACATTAGGTACTGGTTTCTTAGGCCAAAGGCCGCTTCTTTGGGCCCCCTTGTGCGAGTTTCATACAGGCTTCCTTGAAGGATGGGTGTGTTAAAGCATCCATGCCTTGAGTATCGACGTTGTCCCGAATCGTTAAAGAAGAGCACAGACCAAGCTCAAAAACGGTTACGTGTATTGCTTCGAACAGGCCACGAACAGCGCATACATGCACTTCAGGGCTTGTGCAGGGCTGCATAGAGCTTCTCACCCCACAGGAACATCGTGTCGAAGTTCACGTACATCATCTGGATGCAGCGCATGAAGATGGTGCACCAGCGCAAGATCGAGGCTGCAATTGGCAAGAGCTGTAGCTTCACTTGTATGCATCGTGCTCCTCAAACGAATTGAGAGGTTTGTGCTTCATTGTATGCTAGTGGCTGTCTGCACGCGAACACCAATTGCCCAAGTACGTAGCAGCCCTGAGCCGCCAGAAGCGAGACAACAGAAAGAGCTCATGTCTTCGGGTAGCCTAGCATACGGCCACTCTGGGTGTTTGCGAGCGCTTCCTCAAGGGGATTCTAACACCTTCGCCCCGAGAGCCGGACCTTTCCGCCCGATGTCCCTCAACTCAACTGGGACACCGCGGCAGGGCTAGCGGAGAAACCGAAATCGCGAAACCAGACGTGCACTCTGCATAATCTGAGCCGACAGGCGGCCCGCGAGCTGTATGGCCTATCCCCCTCCGACGAGATCAACGAGGCAAGCGTTGGGCAGGGCGTGGCTAGTCTGCTTGCGCGCCCATGACCTGCAACTCACTTGTGCCTGCGTGGCTGTGTCTTGCATAGCCAGTTCAGTAAACCGACATTTGTGCAGGTTAGTCTTAAATCCAAAAGCTGCGTGTCACAGTCTCTTCATCAAAGCTGGCACTTGGCTTGTCAGAATCTGCTGCGTCATTGCATGTGGCCTATTCCGACAGCATTGGACAGCACTCAGCTTAGTGACCTAGCAGATTGTTCAGAGGGCATGCGCCAGACTGAAGCATTCCTTGTTGGTGATCAGGAAGACCTGAAGAAGCAGGCCATGACCAACGGAGTGCCAAGACAGAATCGATGAGGGTGCACGTCGCATACCGTGGAGGGCAACGACACCCTGAAAGGGGGACGGGGGTCTTTTGTGGGTACTTGCTTGTTAGGCCGTTAGGCCCTATGGCAAGGGCGCTTGAAAAGGTTCTTTTGCAAGCCAAGTCCCAAGACTCGTAGTCCAAGCTCGCAATCTGGCAGCCAAGAGTCATCCTGACAAGGCTCCAAAAGGTTTCTTGAAGGCTGGGTATCGCCTCGCACCGTAGAGACCCGAAGCCCTCCTTGCCTGGCGTGAATCGCCGTTGCTGCCGTGTGCTTTGCAAGCTCCAATGGAGAACCCCAAAATGGGGCTGATCAGACGTAACTTGCGTTTTCTGGCACCCTGAACTAAGGACAAAAAATTTATATCAATCCGTCCACATGGCGACAACCCGAGGCTCAGAATGGAACCGTCTCCGCTGACGCCTACGGCTTGGGTGCTGGTGAGGCCGAAGAAGGGCCACGTACATGGAGGCTAACTTCACCTTTCTCATGATCCGAGTTAGGCCAAACTCCAGGTTCGTTCGCGTGATCTCCGGAATTCAAGGGTTGTGTCAACTTAACTTGACTTACAGGCAGTTCAAGCCAAGGGCAGTGCCGAGCTGTTTTGGGGATGCTCAATCCAAGATAAAGGTGAACCGGTCAAGCCACGTTTGACTACTTCTGAACCGTTATCATTGACTCCTTCCGTATTGTGTGCTACATTAGTAGGGTTTCTTTCACTACCTGCCACTTCCCAACGCACACACGCACACACAGAGACACATGGTAACACAAGGACATTCGGAGCATGACGCGAATACCTTTGTGCACAACTGAGACAGCCAGTGAAGTTCTGGGCCCCTCCTACACGACGACTAGTCCCTGCATTGCAAATCACCAAGCGGCAGTCGGCCCAAAGAAGCTTGAGCCATCCAAACTCCACAGGAGGCGGAAAGCGAGTTGAAGCTTGTTGAGCTGATTGCAGAGACCATGGCCTCTCGGGCACTTCTCAGAGGGCTCTGTGCATAGGATGCATAGGGTTGCGGTCAGGCTCATCCAGAATTTTGGAGGGATGCTGGGAGAAGCGAGCGTCTATGGCAGTTGACACTAGAGTCCCTATATGCCGTTACGTGCCAATTTTCCCCGATATAGGGCCCCACGGCCCCCGAACGGGGCTTCGGCCCTCGGTGCGAAGATGTGGGAAGTGCCAAGCTGCCAAATGCCCTCAGCCACTTTTAGCTTCCTACATGGGCCCGAAGCCCCGCAGCCTTAAATCCCACCAGAAGCCCGTCGTGCCCTACTTTAGCATCCCCCGAAGCTGCAGAATCACTCAGGTGACTCTTGGGATGAGCGCACACACCGACCGGCTCTTGAGGCACCCATGTTAGCTAAATGACCTTTGTGATTCATTCAGGGAGCATTCACACCCTTGGCGGTGCACTCGTCAGTTAATCAGCCCCGGGCTCGAGTTGCAGGGTATTTGTTTGCAGGGGATTACGGTGGTTCAAAATGAGGACATAACTGTTTATGTGTTGTTTGTTGTGTCATTTTTTGGGGAGGCTCTTCAGTCGTGTCCAAATGGGGGCTGTCCTTTTCTCACAGCCCTCCCCTCCCCAGGCAACCCCGGCGTAATGTGGTCAGGATCCATGTTGGGCTTCTAGCTCATACGACTCGGTTAACGGTGAATGTCAGTTTATTTTGCCTCACCCCGTCTCACCCATTGCCAGGTTGATGGTCGAGAACGGTGTGACGAACACGGCCGTGCTGGAACGATTGACTCTGCGGCTCAAAACTGTTGACGTTCGTGGTTGTCATCCTGTTCGTGGTTGAATGAATGCAGCACTGGGGTTCTGTGAGTTCTGTGGGGGATGATGAGCGTGTTGCCCGAACACGCTCCTCTCCGTGTCTACATGGAATCCAAAATCGATTCAGGCGCTCCAATGTGCACGCTGAACCCTTCCCCCCCCCCTGTATATCCGAAGCCGAGATCGGGGGAGCAGTTTCTGAATGTCTTCCAATTCTTTCGCCCCTTCCTGAATTTTTACATATCTCACACACCTATACATACAAAGTGGAGTGGAGTGGAAAGTGACCAGGGCAAAGTCCGGTTGAAAGGCGGTATCACCTCCGGCTCGAAGGCTTAAGGATCACACCACCCATACATGCACCCCGACGGTGTCGTCTCGGTGGTGGATGTGAGGTTGAAGGGGACCCAGGACTCTCCAGACTTCAAGAATCTGGAATCCAGTCCATCCTGGCATCAGGCCCTCGTATTCTCCCCGAGTTTCTTTTCATACGAACAAGCCAGTTAACACCAGTAGCATTTTGTCATCATTGTTCGATCAATGAATATGCAAGTTTTTCTGGACTAGGGCACACTAATTGGTCAGTGGCACAGCGGGCCAGACTACAATTAAAGACTTTGTTCACAAAGCGTGTAAAATATGACGAGCGGCTTTAATCTCTGCTGTTTAAGCTAATGAGTATGCCCTTGTTCTATTCTATTTGTCATATGCTATACTGGAAGTTAGATAGCCAAGTTAGCTAGAAAGTTCAGATAAATATTCTAATATGTTGATGTGGTTAAAGACGAAAAATCAGAGCAGCTAATGCTTTGTAAGTAAGAGCATCAAAGAATAGACGTACTAAATATGACTCATGTAATCACGCATGCCGGTATTACCAAGCGTAGCAATGTGCCAGTAGCATCCTTGTCAATACCATGCAGACTAACAATACTCTCAATTTAACATTATTTGCTCTAGTGTTACTGTACTGCTAGGAACGCTAAAGCAACTGCAATTAATATACTTACGAAGCGTTGCCTACATATTTCATGATGCACGTTTCAACTAATGTTGTCAATGTCAGTAAACCTTAGTTCATGTTGCAAAAACTAGGTCTACGAATCCTTTTCTCCTAACGTTCTCAATGCTAGTAATGAACATTGCAAATACTACCAGTGGGCCGCACTATTTTCAATACTGGCCATCCGGTTCATTTTTTCGGACTAGTCTTGTTATTTCTTGGTTCGCTGAAAATGCAATCCTGGGACTCATAAAACTAGTGAAATTATTCCTACAAGAATCTTCGGCAAACCCACTAGCATGAAAAACGTGTTTCATACAATTAGTCCAATGAATATAATCCCACTCCCTTCCAGTTTGTACAGCTCCTATAGCTAAGTCTGAGTTAGTGTGACTTATTCATATGGGGCGGGCAATTTTCATAATGAATATACTTCAACCTTCATAACACGGGCCGCCCCATGCAGTTACCAGAATCAAACATGTTTCTCGCCCCAAACCTGCATGACAAGCTTCATCCAAACAACCTTGTTAAGATAGTTATACAGTTATATACATATAGAGATATATACATGTTTTTTTGCTACAATATGTTTCGTAGCTTTTCGCTTATTGCACACCGCTCTCTACACTTTCGGACTCATGAGTCAAAAACGGCGCGGATCTAAAACCAGAACCCGGCTTTTTAGGAGGCAAGTAGGTGGGGAACTTGAGTGAGCAGGTGGCGCAACTCAGGCCGTCAGTTTGCGAGCCTATTTCAACTCAGATCATGTCCAGAGGCGACTCTTCAGCAGAGACAAACAGCGAGGTGTCGTCATCGTTTGTGTTGCCGCACATGACCCTTGAAGAGATGGGCACAAGTTAATGCACAAAAGGTTGAGGACAGGAGTCGTCGCAGGCAGCAGCGCAACACTGTGCAAACAACACTTGAACTCGTGGACGACGTTACTCTTCTAGTTTGTGCTCGGCAGCGGATCTGTGATGCATAGCGTCGGCACATGTCCCCTAGCTGGCGGCATGCCCTTCAGCCCGTGCTCAAAAAGAAGGCATACAAGTTAGAAGTTATGCAAACATCGCATTTTGCTTTTGTTGTTTTGCTCTTGGCTTTAGATATGACAAAACTCTAGTTTTTGGCGGTCTAACGAGCGCCGCCAGTTGATGCAGAATGTAAAGCTTTTGCCGATTATTTACATATTGGTATGTGTACACCTATTGGCTTAGTTTCATGCAGAACGAGTTTTTTCGAATGAATCCCCAAGCCTTAAATCACTAGCCCTCAGATCATGCAGCAGAAGCCCCTAAGCTCAGGACGCCCCACACCTCCCATGTTGCAACACTCAACCCCCAAACCCAGAAAAGAAAGTCCTTGCATGAGCCTGAGTTATGCGAGGAACGCAGAGCGCTGTATGGAGCTGAATCTGTTCCTCAGCTTTGTTGGGGGGCTGCAGGGTTTGGGGTTGGATGTGTTTAGAGACAAGCCTGTGCAAAAATACGTTTAGAGCAGGGATGAAGCATCTTGAGGGCTCTAAGGGAGTGATGTTGGACTTCTAGGGCACCGTTTTCAGGCTGTAACTCCCTCAAGGCTTTGTCTCCACCACAGACCCAAGTAAAGGAAGGCTCTCTGGGTCCGGCTTCTAAGACTGGCCCACTACAAGTATTACTTCACAAATGAACTGATAAATGGCTTGGTGAACTAGTTCCTGGTTCCTTTTTCCATAGCTAACCTCCCCAACATGAATCCTCGCTTGAAACCCCATTGTGTTTTTCCGAGCCTTTCATCTCCTTCTCTTTGGAATCCTTTTCTGGTTCACTGTCATCATTCAACTCTTGGTACTAGAGTTTCCAGAGCCTCCATTCAGTTGAGAACTCTCCTGACACGCAACACATGACCAGTACGAAGCCCATTCATCCTATGTGAAAGAAGGTTAACCGCAGCACCCATCACACCTTGAGTCTCCACTCTCGTATCGTGATCTCTCAGTTAATTAGTTAATTGACACCTGGAGCTTTGGACTCATGAAGATATAGTGTGCGAGAGGGCGATATTCCGAGGCCCTTTGCCCTCATCGATGCGGCGCAACGCCGTTGGACGGCCGAGAAGATGAACATGGGCCAGGTGCGTGGACTGTGGAGTTTGGGACTTTCAGTATCTTAGGACTCATTGGTCAGTTTCGCACTTGCAGCTTCGCGTCTGGTTTTCTCTGGCACTGTTGCTGTTGATGCCACTCCTGCCGCTGCTGTTTCAGCGCTTTTGCTGTTGGTTAAGATGGCGAAGGTGGTTCTAGTTGTGGCCACAGATTTTTGGCGATGACAAAAAAGAACCTGGGGTTTTCGGGTCCTCATTTTTGCAATGGGGCTGGGCAGGCTTTTGATTTAGGGCTTGTGCGAACTGCTTCGAAAAATGGCGCACATATTCTAAACGGTTAGCTCGTGTAAACTGAGCGCAAACACAGGACAAGGGTGGCACCGTCGAGAAGGAGGACCCTTTCAAGAAGCTCCTGGAAGCCAACAAGGACCGACGCCCAGCTCCCGTGATCCCCAGTGTCTCTTCCAAGTGGCCTCAATGAACTATTTCGCCGTGGCTCTGCATGCAGACCAGTTCCAAGATCTTCGGAGGCTGCAACTTGAAATTCCTTGTTGTCCCAAAGGCTTATGAGTTCGAGTATCTACGTAAATTCTTTGTGTTTAATGCTTCCGAAGATGTGGAAGGCTGATTGAGTCCTACAGAGTGTCCAGGAGCGCGTGAACGTCAAGAACCTCGCGAACTCCTTGCCTGGCATGCTACTTTATCAGCACAGTGAAGCCCCATGCCCATAACCCTAAAGATCCTAATCCCTATGCCGGAGCACAAGGCCTACACTCTGATCATAAGCAGTACATTTTAACATATCTTAACTAGCTTTGAAAAGTTTGGACTGCAGAGCGTGTTGTGCAGAGAGCTTCGGGTTTCAGCAGTGCCTTTGCATGTGTGCAAACTCCAACGTAGCGCGTCATGCATCTCGTGTTTTTAGGGGTCTAGGAGCCCAAGAGGCTGACTGGCTCCCGCAGCCCAGATACAACAAAAGGAGCCCAAGGGAGCTTTTTGGGCTCCTCCTGGATTTCTACATATGCATATACATATATATATATATATATATGAGAACCTCGTACAAAGTCAGGCTTGAACTCCAGGATACGATCTATTCTGGATTTGTATGTTCCTCCGACAGTGTACCTCCAATATTCTCTAGCTCGTAAGATGATATTTTTGTTCAGATTTGAGTATGTTGCCACGAGAGCGACGTGCCTGTCCAGGCGTGCTCAAACAAGCCCGTGTAATAAGAGATTGGGCCTTGGGTTTGAGCACGTACCCTTGCGAGCATTTGCAAGGGCACTCCCCTCAAGGCCAAGTTGCATCCTGGAGCTGTGGAGCCCCAGAAGACTGGACCTGGATTCCCTGAGCCTGCAAGGCCCTACTGACCTTTTAGCCCTAAACCATGACCACTTGGCCCAGGTTCTCCGGAATGAACACGCCGCCAGTCGCGGGAATGGGCGGCATGGGCATGATGGACCCGGGAGCCCTGGAGGACCAAACCACAGGGTGGTGTCAGAGGGATTCCTAGGGCTGAAATTCAGTGCCCGGTTGGCGTTGGCCAATCTCAAAAGACTCTGTTCAGTGCTGGATAAGGTAACTCGGGGGTTGTGGCTTGCAATTTGAATTTGTGAATCACCATGGGCTGGGGCTGGGCGGCTAGCCTGGCATGTACCCAGAACTCCTGAAAAGCGTTCTGGCTCCCAAACTCCAGAGACGCTGGAAGGCAGATCCCGACCCTCCAACCGTACAGTCGCTTTTCGCCAAACGTTACTAAATCCGGGACCTTTCACACGTTGTCACAGCCTTGCCGCATGATTCGGACAGTGGCAGCTCATCTCGGGCGTTGTCAGCATTGTGACGAGATTCGCCAAGAGCGTTGGCCTTGCGGCTAGCTGCTTGTGGCGACACTTTTGAGCTCAGCGCCCAGCAGGAGCAGATGATGTCGGTGATGAGCCGAGTGATGGTGCCCTTCCAAGACATGGCGGAGACCTCAGTTGCTATCAACTACAAACGTTGACAAACCCTATGACGCAGTTTCGAGACTGATCCTTCACAAATGATGAAGGTCCGAAATCCTGATGTTGAAGGCTAGCGGCTATCAGCTAAAAAGCATGTAGGACCGGATGCCGTTCAATAAGTATGGAGTCTCCTCGCCTCTTTCCGGCCTCCTCCGCATAGTTGTGTGACTTCGGAAGCCGGCTGCATGAAGCCACTGGCCTACAGTGGAAAACTGTTGCCCCTAAACTGATAAACTGCACGAGCCCTAGGGCCCTAGGTATCTTTTCTGAACCCCAGACTGCCCAAACTGCCCAAGCCCTCGACCCTCAAGCCAGAAAGCCTTACAAGCCTTCCGTGTGCAAGTGTGAGCGTCGAACTCCCGAAACCGTCTAGCCTAAGGCCTACGATCCTAATTTCCAAAAAACATCTCCAAAACCTCGCTGTCAGGTCATGGGTCGGCTTCAGTCTATGGAGGAGACGTTCGGCCTACAATTATTTTGGTTTACAGCTTTTCTTAGGCAAAGAGCTGCCAGTGCACAGGGATTTGCAAAAAAAAGGGCCCAGCTCAGGGTGCCGTGCTGCTGTACAACTGTGCAAGTGTTCTACAATAGCTTTGGGATGGTTTGGGGCTCGGGGCTCGCTCTTCAAAACGTGGCCCTTTAATCAGCTCCCAGATCCGAGAGGCTCACCCAGCTCAGGCACTGACCCAAAGCTCAAGTCCTGCTTCAAACTAGAAGCGATCCCCAGCCCTGCCCAAGAACAAGTCGATTACCAGATTCCTGTACAAGAGATAAGCTTCCTCCGCAGAGCAAGGGTCCAGGAGGGGCATGCCATCTGTGGAGCGCTTTTCTTCGCCCAAGGAACATGCAGCGACAGCTCGAAACGACACAGGTCCGGCGCCCAACGGCTTTGCTATTAGGCGCTCGAGACCTTGTAGGTCGCTGCATGTTTGGCGGGATCTAGGTCGAGCTGCGGCGTCTGAGCCTAGTTGCAGTTTGCCATATGCCCGGGTCTTTGAGTATTATCGGATGTAGAGCTTAGTATAGGTTCGTTTTCATCTTTTGATTCTGACAAAGCATCCGAGATACAGACAGCGGTTGGTAAGGTTTGCCAGAGGCCTCGAGATTCGTGTCTACCGGTGTGGTGCTTTGCTCAAAACGAGTTTCTTCCTGACCATCCCGCATACCAAAGACTGGTCCGTTGTGACCCATTAATGCTGTCATGAGTCATCGTGGAGCCTGTGATGAGGCCGCAGCTCCTTTGTGCTAGTGTGAGTGATGAAACCTGTTACACCTATCAAGTTCCGCGAGCAGTCTCGTGTGGCCCGGGTGTGGCAATCGAAACCTATGAAGCCGTGCAGCCCGTTTCAAGCACGAGTTTGAGTTGGGTTCGTATCACGTGCTCCCCATGCCTGTTATGCATGCAGACATCGGCTAGCTCACCTGTTGTTTACCTGTTTGGGCAGGAAAAAGGTTGAGTGGGATAGATGGCATCTCAGGCTACGGCTAGGTGTTTGGGCGGCGTGCTTTGCCATGCTGCGATTGGTTCATGGCCAAGCTACCTGACTTTGTTGATCACTATGCTGCGTTGGGCTGTTCCCCGAAGTCTTCGCACACAGAAATCAAGCAAGCATATCATGAAAAGCTGCGTGAATATCATCCGGACAAGCGGCCGAACAGCCAAGAGGGCCGAGGCAAAAAGATAACAGCGGCCCTGAATCAAGCTTGGGAGATCCTCAAAGACGACTTCCTTCGCGAGGAGTATGATCGCAAGTGGAGGGAGATCATGGAGGATCCAGCAAGTTCTCTAGCAGATGAATGCCGTCGCTCCGGGAATGAGCTGTACAGAGCTGCCTGTGTTCTTGCGCAAAAGCACGGGGAGGCTCATGTGGCTCATGTGGATGGTGTGACTTTTGGGGAGGGCCTGGACTGGGCAAAGCAGGCTTTAGAGAAGTACCAGGCTGCAATTGATGCGTATACCAGAGGTCTGGAAGCCGCTCCTCATGATCACCGCTTGTACAACAACAGAGCCTTGTGCTTCGCAGCTCTGAAGCTTTGGCTTCGATGTCAGGAGGATGCGAGACAGGTGATCCGGTTGAAGCCTGACTTCAAGAAGGGCTGGTTCTTGCTAGCCAAAGCACTGTGGAGGGAAGGTCACCTAGCAGAAGCCAAGAAAGAACTGGATGCCGGTCTTGCAATCCTGCCAGAATGTACCGACCTACTTGATCTGCAGGCCGAGATTCACAAGATTCACGGTTGATTTGCTAATCTGGCCCCTGCGTGCAAGTGCTCCTTGTTCGGAGTTTTGGGTTTCGGGTTCTTAGGTCCCTAGAGGCCGAAGGGTATCGCAGCCGTGTGCAGGCCGAGATTCACAACGCGCTTGCTGAGCAGTCTGGTGGCCAACATCTTCCTTCTATCTTGAGGCGGAGGACAAGCGTCAGCAGGAATGTCTCTCCGGTTGGCACGCCCCCGCCGTCATCAAGCTCTGTTCGTGTGCAGCCTCCACCTCCCATCCACAAACCGATGCCACCCAGAAGGCAAGCTTGTCCATCTCCTTCTCCTCCAGCTGACGCGGGCTTGGGACGATCACAAAGCTTGCGCTGCTTCAACGAGCGGCAGGCTCTTCCTGTCAAGAGCAGCTCCCTGTCACCCCTAAAGCATCGGCGGCTACCGACGGACTTTGGAGAGACAATGGCCTCGGGCCTGGAAGCAACTGCTCGATTCGGAGACAGCACGGCGGACTTTGGGGAAAAAATCAAGTTCTTCGCAAATCGGTCGGCGGGCCTGTCAGGTACCCGTGACAACCGAACTCTATGGGACTTTGCACAACTTGGCTTTCGAAACACGAGTGCTGCATGACAAGGTGCAGGTTTCGATTCGCATGTCTCTGCATGCTTTTAGAGAGGTGGACACGAATAGCACCGCCAGACGGCAGAAGTGTCCTAGCAAAGTGCTGTGTACATCTCTCTACCCCTCTCTCCTTCCCCCTCTAAAGGACCGGGGAGGGCTTGGACTGCCCTAGACTGAACAAATGATACAAATGGTCCGAGTATGTCCGAGTCTGCCGTGCAGACAGTCTGATAGCTCCACAGCCCTTTGATGCGTTTTATGTGACTCATGTGCGCTCTTAAGTTCAGGCTCTGCCCCATGGTCCCCAACTTTCCCAAAGCGCCAAGGCCGAGAGGCTCGAAGACTCAAACGGCCAAAGCCTCACAAAGTATGAAGCCACAGCAAGCCCAGGAAGCCATCTCACAGCGCATGGACTTCTCCCAGGCCACAGTTGGTTTGTTGGATTTTTGATATTCTTGGCGTCGCGTCTCCGCATGACGCGCTCACATGTGATGTTGAAGGACTTTATGGTACTGTAACAGAGACGTTGCGTGCACGGACCATGCTATGACACGTAATCATGTCGGCGTTGGTGCGCTTTGGGTCTTAGGGCCCATCCGGGGTCCAGCGCTGGAAAAGGGTTCTGGCGATTGGAAACTTGAGGAGTTTTCAGAGATCAAATGGTTTCGGCTTTTGCAGTGCCTGGCATTTCACAAAGCAGCATCGAGGATTCGAAGCTCGCTTCGCCTAAGGGCACAGACAACTTTCAACTCATCCATGAGCTGAGGTCTCACTGCTGCAGACCGTCAACGCCTGCCAGGTGCTGCTTCACAAGCTTGACTCTTCGCAGGCCAGGGGTTAGACTGTGAGTCGTCAGTCTATATAGTGTTGAGGCATGCTCCACAATGAGGAATCCTTAAGCAGATTGTGGGAGATCCTAGATGCATGATTTCACAGGGAAGAGGGCTACCTCAACCTTTCAACCTTTGGGATAGCTTCTCGCCCTAAAGGGTAGAGTCCCCGCTTTCTGGTGTGTTTGACTCGAGATGGGAAGCCTTGACTAGCAACTTTGCGTGCCTGCCATCGTTCTTCCAGCCCACCGCTGCCGCTTCCGCCGCCTCGTCGCTGTAGTTGTCGCTGTTTGATTATGTTTGATTACTACGTTTTCTCTTCTTCCTCTGTTTCTCGCTCTGGTCTCCGTTGCTCTCTAATACCTCTTGCGTTCGAGAGCTGGGAGTCGCAGGAGCAGTGATTGCTGTTGCGCTTTGAACACGTCGTTGCGTAGGAGACAGTGATGCAGAAGATGGACACGCAGAAGTCCATCGTGGACCGCATGGTGGAATCCTACTCAGGCGGGCTTTACAAAAAGCTCAGTCAGTCCTCAATCTCCTTTTCAGGTCTAGACTCGACCCAGAACGCCATGATGCACCACATCAGACGCCCTCGCAGTCTGGTTTCCTGACGTTTCCTGTGTCTGTTAGTTTCGGGCAAATTTTCGGAGCCAAGCGCAGTTCTGTTTTGTTTTTCGGCCTTGGTTTGTAAGTTTGCAGGCCTTGTGGAGAACATCGACAGCGCCAGCGACAACACCAAGAGCGCTTTGCTGGACACCGCTGCTTGGATTGCGAAAGCCGAGTCGGTCGCAGCCGCATTGTGTCGCACGCCGTCAGGGAATACGGCACGGAATCGGGAATAGAGCTCAGTCAGGGAGTTTAGGGCTTGAGACAGACGAGTTCAGGGTTTAAGGTAGCCTGCTGCAAAGAAGGGAAAAGGTTGGGGGAGGCCATTGGCTGATTCGGCCTGCACGTCTTCTTGACATGACGGCCCCTTCGTTCCCTGTACAGCCCATGTCCACGCCTGACACCTGTTCCTGGTTCAACCATCATCCCTCACGTTGGAGTTGGCTGGGCGTTCCAAACATCTTAGACTAGCTGCAGAATCCGTTTTGAATATGTTCGAACGAATCTCGAGGACCACTGGCTCATCGCTTTTGAGCCCAGGCACTCCTCACATGTATGTGACGTCTTACAAAGTCATCTGCAACACCATAAGGCTGTCAAGGTGCGAAACAGCCATTGTACTGGGTGTAAGAGGCCACCTTTAAGGAGAAAAACTATACACAGTAAGAGATTCTAGCCACGCCATAGCAGAAACAGACTAGCAACAATGCTTCGTGTGCGTTCCAGGTTTGTCGCGCTGTGGCTTTGCAAGTCGCTTTGCATGTCTTGCCTTTGCTCATGTCTTGGTCATGTGCTGCGCATGTTTAGAATACCAGCCGTGCTGCGTTGGAGTTGGCGCAGGCGGGCACCAAGATTCCAGTGTGGGGAATGAATGAATATGCGTGGCTTGCGGGTGTAATCTAACCCGTAACGGTCATTATCTGCATCCATCATCATCCATCCCAGGTCAACACGTCCTCCCAAGCCATGCTCAAGAAGCTGGACTCCACACAGCAGGCCATGTTCGCATTTAGGGTAGATTGGCGGTCGCAGTAAAAGAGGAGGCTGAAGCGTACTGAAGCCAGTGCAGATACTTAACTGTCGTATGTGCTATCCGTTTATCCGTCTACACACCTTATATAAGCCCTAGCCAAACGTAGGCCACGCGCCTTGGCAAGCTTTAGAGGGTTTAGAGGGTTCAGGATTTAGGGTTGGCCGGGGTTCACGCTTTTCCGAAAAGGTGCTTGCTTCAAACATCTGTCGCTCCTATGCCACTCCTCTGTGGCACCGTGGCATGTCCGGGCAGGGTAGAAGCTCGACTCTCTCAGCCTTTCCGAAACTCAAACCCAAATTCCAATCTTCAGTGTAATGTTTGAGCCCGAGGCTGAACCTCAAAACTGCTAACAGGACCTCCTGAAGCAGACCCACGAGTCGCATGCCGTCCTCCAGGGCGTGGCGCAGACCCAGCCCCTTGGTAGAAGCTTCGGGGCTGTAAAGTCAAAACGCCACGCAGGAAGGCTTTCAGCGGTGGCCCAGGCGTGAGTCTGGGGCCCAGGGCTTCCTCGAGAGACCCCAGAGTGTGTAGAGCACTGCAATATGGAGTAATATTCTAGTCTAGTTCTGGAGAGCGCTCCCTGAGATTGAGCCGTTGTGTAGATGCGCAGGTTCAATATCCTTATGCGTACGACCAGTCTGCACTTCACAAGCCAAGGACAAGCTTGGCAAAGAAGGTCGACTCAGGAAATGAGTTGCTCGGAGATGGATTGCTCAAAGGGATTCCATCGACTCGCGGTGAGCATACTGCCCACAATGGTAAGTGCCCTCAAGTACGACATCTTCAGCTTGCTTGGCTCAAGCCTCAAGTCAACCTGATTGCCGAGGCGTGGTAGGAACAACGATCGGCTTCCAAAGCTGCGCATCCCAACATATGAAAGCGAGCGATCCTGATGAAGCTCGATATGCGCCGCTGCAGGTTCACACAGCGCCGCCTTGTGGAGATGGAGACCTGCATTGGCAAGAAGGTCGGGAGGGGTTTGTAATGCTGGACCACGCCACCCGCCCCCCCAATCACCGATGCCTCGTGCTATGCTACAGGTGTCTGATGTCGGCGACTCGCTGGCTCGCTCGCAGACCATGAGCGCCCCGGAGATCAAATGTCGAACGCAAGCTGGCGTTGGATTGCATGGGGTTGCATGACCACCCTGGACCCATCAGCATCTGAGCCTGAGGCTCGGAAAAGGTGCTTGATTCCCTCCGCAACGACTTGGCCACCCTCGCTGAGCAGGGCAACGTGACCTGGCAAAGGAAGTGCGCTAGGATTGCGCCCCGAACTGCGCCGTACTCTGCATATCTCTGCATCCTGAGGCATCCTGAGCTATTCTGAGGCACATTCTGGTCGGCTCGGGGTGAACGGGGTGAACGCTGGGGGCTTCAAGATGCCTGTTGTGCCAGGGCGCGGGGCAATCTGAGGCCATGGTTGATGCAACGGAAAAGTCGGCGAGTGTGCAGGAGCTATGAAGATGCAGTGAAGGTTTGTGTTTCTGGTCGCATGCAGCTGTGTGTGTGTGTGTGTCAAAATCCGTTTACAGGTAGATGAGTAGTTGTCTTTGCATTCCAAAGAAGCTCTCACTAAGATTCGGCTTCTGAATCTCCGGATCGTAGAAATGCATCATGTCCGCATCAGGCGTCCGCAGGAAGCTATGAATTAAGGAGTCGCAGCAGCAACAAAAAGCCTTTGTATTGACAGGGGCTCATGTCCGGAGGTTAGTGCTGATGGAGCTGAGGGTGAGCACCTCCTTTACCCATTAGCGTTTTAGGTGGCCCACGCAAGCAGACAAACACAAACACAAGCACAAGCACAAGCACAAGCACAGGCACAGGCACAGGCACAGGCACAAGCACAAGCACAAGACAGCACAAGATAGCACAAGATAGCACAGGATAGCACCAAAGCACACAAGCACACAAGAGCCCAAGAGCGCAAGAGCTGTACACCTCAGTTCCTCCTTTTAAGCTGCAGACTGCCATACTGCACCTCTCCTACGCACATATAGCTAAGGCTTCCATATCAGGAGTCAAGAGCGGTACGGAGACATAATCATGTAGGATTCCCAGTTCCCTCGCAGGAGGAGCGCATGTCAGATGTCCGCCGCCAGAAGCACGGCGAAAGGGGCCTCCCCAGCCTCCCCAGCTAAGAGGGCTCGAAGGTTCAGGGATTTGATACGACTGTTGGGAACCAGGCAGTCTCTGTTTGTTTTCTTTTCTGTACTTCTTTCGTTCTCTCTCTCTCTCTCTCTCGAGAAAGGCTTGGACTGTTGAGGGACTGCGAAGATCCCTAATTCAGTAGGCCCTAATCAATTTCTTGTCTGAATCAGTTCCTGGCTAGAGTGGAGAGACCCTGCTTTCCATATGCTGGCCTTTTCAAAACCAGAACGGCACCTACCCGGAGCGCAAAGCCCTAAACCCTGACCACAAGAAGCCCTAACCACAAGCTACTCCAAACCGTGACACGAGGAATATGATGATCCTGGATCTGCTGACTCAAGCCCAGGAGACCATGCACACCAGTGCTGAGTGCTTTGCCTGCATGAATCTTCACTTCAACAGCTTCCCCAAAACTACCTTCCACCCCAAAAAGAAGGTCTTGAGCAGGCTGCAGCTGTAGCAAGGTTGCAGCCTGGGCTGTCGCCGCATGTTTCGGCAGCCTCCAGTTGACAGACTCCTCAATTTCGATAACCGCTATCAACTGTAAACCCCGCTGGTTGCGAACCCTGTAAACCGTCAGAATTGTCAAGGTTGTCCACCGACTTAGTTCCAAGTCTATTGTGAAGTCATGCAGCTCTGCAGACTCGATCAATAAAACGCGAGTGATGAGTGGGTATGATTTTGTGAGGTTTTGACAAATAGAGATGTGATGTGCTGAGCTTTGGTGCTTTGTTTAGGGTTGAGGTGTTGAGTATCAGCGTTCTTGGTAACAGCGGGTTGGGCGGGAATAACACCGCGTAGGCGGGAATAACACCGCATAGGGGGGAGACCGCATGTGTAGGGTTGGGGGGGGGAGGATCAGGGTTGTAGAGTTGGGGGGGCCCTGAAAGTCAGGGATTTGAGGTTTTCAGGCTTGAAAGCGTCGAAATGGTGATTCCCTTTTGGGGGCGGAAACGTGGGGGAATCAGGGATTTGAGGTTTTGAGGCGTACGTCGCAACAGTGAATTACTACTGCGCGGGGGGGGGGGGGGGGGGGGGGGGGGGGGGGGGGGGGGGGGGGGGGGGGGGGGGGGGGGGGGGGGGGGGGGGGGGGGGGGTGGCGGGGGGGGGGGGGGGGGGGGGGGGGGGGGGGGGGGGGGGGGGGGGGGGGGGGGGGGGGGGGGGGGGGGGGGGGGGGGGGGGGGGGGGGGGGGGGGGGGGGGGGGGGGGGGGGGGGGGGGCGCGGGGGGGGGGGGGGGGGGGGGGGGGGGGGGGGACGGGGGGGGGGGGGGGAGGGGGGGGGCGCCCTCTCTCTCTCGCGGGTTTTCAAGCGTGTTACAGGTCCCTCCAGAGCTTCACGCGCTCGGAGATCATGCGCGACTCTGCAGCGTACCTTGGTCCTCACAGCTGTCTGGTAGGTGAATTCAGTTCATTCATGTTAATCCCTTTGTAGTCGCCGCTACCCCCAGCGATGTCTTTACAGAACATAGCCTCGAATCTCGTAGTGTTTACGGTCTGAGCTTCTGAAACAGGGGCCATTCATGGGCTTCGGAACTCTCGAATGCAGTTTCTGTGGACACGAGGAACATGGAGATGCAAATCCGCGATGTAATCTTGAAGCAGATGAGCAAGATGCAGGCTTGGGGGGTTTGCGGGTGCTTGCGAGGCTGCCTATTTGGGGGGCGAGCTCTTGTTGAGCCCCATAGAAGTATGTGTGAGTAGGGGCTGCACTGGGGTGGTGATGAGTCTTGCTCTTATGAGTCTGGGGTCTTGGCACAAAAAGCGTTTACAACCGATTACTCATTGCGGCAGAGCAAGAACTGGGCAGGGCTAAATTGCTGAAAGGGCTGGTGCACAATGAGGCTTTGCATGCTCGGGCAGACGCAGCATGGGACAAAACCACGGTGCACAAAGCTCAAGCTTGACATTTCCACCCGCCCAGAATCCGGACTCGCAGGTGTTTCTCCACACTACTTGAACCCTGAGCCGTCACTGACGCATTTCAGGAAGCCTTCCTGGGTGAAGGAGGTGAAGAAGGAGGCTCCTTCAAGGACTGTTCCTCCCCGGGTGCTAGTTTCATGGAGGTGCCAGAGCGACCTCTTCAAATCTTGCACGTTTATGAAAGTTAACTCCAGCTCGGCCATGATGACCCTGAGAATGGAGCATGTGGGGGGCCGCTAAGGCCAAGGACCGGACGAAAGGCTCTTCAAGACACGAAAAAACTCTTGAGAGTATGGGCTCCGGTTGAGATTGGGGGCTTAGCGGGGCTTAGACAAATAAAGCCTGCAATGTATAACTTATAGGGTTTAACGGCAACCTCGTAGCTTCCTCCATTTCTACTGCGAGTCAACTTCATACTCGTCGCGCTGCGTATTCGTTCGACTGCGGAAAGCCACGTGAGCAGGTTCAGGACCCTCGGCCCTAATTAGGCCCTATATGTTGCGACGATCACCTTGCGAGGAAGCTGTCAACAACATGGTCGCAAAACTGGAGGACTCCGATATGATTGCGCGAGCAGGAAACTCACAATCAGTCACGCTATAGAGGTTGAAACGTGGCACATCCCCCCCCCCCCTTTCCCGCCGCGCCCCCGACCCTGCCCCCGGCCCTCACACTTCGTTGGCACGCCCCGAAGCCAAAGAAGGCCCAGGGTCCAGACATCCCGTCTTGCAAGCCTGAACCCTAAAAACCCGCACTAAGCCGAAACCCTGCAAGCCTCTGCCTTCATAAAGCATCTCATCCTCCCCTTGGCCTCTTGCCCCCCTAGTATCACATTTTCCGGTGCAGTCAAGTAACATGATTTAATAATTAATATGATTTGTAGCACAGCCCGCCTTGGCCCGGCACGCAGCGGCTTTTAGGGTTTAGGGTGTGCAAGGTCGGTCCATGCAGGCATGAAGTTATGTAGAGATTCCAATCTAAGGTTGGTGCCTGTGTACCTCGGTAGGTCAAAGTCGAGGAACCCAATTCCCAGCACGTGAATATTACCTTCTCCATTGAAAATCCCGACAACTTAGCAAGAATGGGAAGGGTGGGCAACGTTGGGCATCCATACTCTGACGCGGAAAGGCGTGACAATTTTTCCGGGATGATTCAGCAGGATCATTGACATGGTCTCCCCGGAGCATTTTCGGGTCCTAAACCGCAGAAGGCGTAAAAGCCCAAACCTACAGTTCACCCCCGGAGTGCATGGTTAGGCGGGTGGAAAAAGCCCAAACCCTTTTGCGCTGATGAGCCCGCGACTCCCCCCCCTCCCTCGGTTGAGGTGACACTCATCAGGGCACAGCATTCTTGAAGATTGTAGGTGGGCGGCAGCAGCACCCCCGAACAACATTTCAGGGACTTCTGGTTCCAACAGGAGAGCGCCCTGCGAATGGAGGCCGCCACAGCCACAAGCTCCGGCGGGCAGGAGAGCACTGAAAGAGCACTCTGGGCATCTCCGAACTTCGAGAATTTAATCCAGCTCCTCTCTCGACTCATTGCTGAGTAGTGCAGACTATAGTCACTGTAGTCACTATAGCCACTCTAGTCACTCTAGTCACTCTAGTCACTCTAGTCACTCTAGTCACTATAGCACTATAGCACACTTTCCAGGTCTCAGGGGAGGGATGTGGGAGGTTTCGTGATATGGAGTCAAAGGGGCGCAGCTTTGTTCGCTTTGTGACCCCACAACCCTGTAACACTGACTTGGCCGCTTTGACCCTAACCCCCCCCCCCCCCCCCCCACGGTCCCAAATCGAAACCCACCCAGATCCCAAGCAATGTATCCCGAGATGACCTGACCCAAAGTCCGAAGCCTCCGGAGCCGCGGATTCCCAAAGCTCGGCCACAACCTGCTGGCATTTTTTCAGGACCAGGGGGAACTCACCGAGAGCATTCGTCAGGAGACACCGCAGTTTCAGGATTTGTGACGTTCGTTGTTCGGCTCTGCATGCTCCGGATTGGAAGATGGGGCAATGATTCAGGATGCATGCTGTCAGGATGAACCTGTAGTGCTCACACATCCAAAGCTTCCACCCACCGCACAGCATCGCGCCACATGTGCGGCCCATGTAAAGGTCAGGTGGCCTGACGAGCGTTCTGCATGCATCAGTGTGCGCCTGGCCGAGGGATTGTGCCACGACCCTGTGGCAACTCGAGCCCGAGTGCGATGCCATGAGGGCATAGCCCTCGGAGCTCACACAGCTCCCACAAGTGCCGGGTTTGTTCATCTGCCGAGACGAGTTTCCAGTGCATCACTGAAACGGCACGAACCTCAACAAATATGAAATGCTAGGCCCTAGGTCATACAGGCCTCATAGTACGCGCTGAAGCAGCTGCCTTTAGCCTTCTTG